GAGTGTAAGGGTGGCTCACAGCTTCTATCCTGTGGGAGCATGGGAGGGTTCAACACTTTAGACCTGGGGGGAGTGTGAGGTTTGCAGTTTCACTCCTGCTCCCCATCTTGGGGGGAGGGGAGAAGAGGCAAGGGTTTCAACAGTGATGCTCTGGTCCCAGCTTCTGCCCTGTGGAAGGTGCTACTGCTCCACTCCTGGAAGGAGAGTGAAGCAGGGCTGGGGCGTTAGCTATTGGGGGGGGTGGGGAGGGGGAGGAACACGACAGGACAACACTGGGGCTGAAACAGGCACTCTCCTTGTAGCTAAAGCCCTGAGCTCCAGCACCCACTGTGAGCCTCAAGCCAGCAACAGAGCCGAAGGGCTGAATAATCCAAGCCCCAGCACCCCTCCATCTAAATACCTGAGCCTGAATGCTCCCCTTCCCCCCCTCCCCCAATTTCTGAAGCCCTGAGCTTTTGCTTTTTTCATTTGGTCTGCTCTGCTGTCTGATTACACAGGGTGTCTGGTTGACAGCTAACTCCTTACTTCTGGTGTTCATATCCTTGAGGTCCTACTGCATCTGCATGATCAGAACTAGCATTTGCAAAACTTTGAAATCAGAAAATGTGTTTGTGCCCTTTTTTGCTTCTCTGATGAATTACCATTCTACCGTCAATTCATGCCGCAAATATTAGGCTTTAATTTTTTTTAAAACTATTCTTTGTCTCCATCTACTGGTAGAGAAACCTCTATTTAGTCATATGAGTAGCCCAGGAGAGTTAAGAGAAAATGCTACCTAGAGTCTGAAATCCCTGATTCTCAAGAACAATCACATTTAGCAAACTTGAAAAGTAATGTCCTCTTGGAAAAAATCCAAGAGAAACAGCATATTATCCAAGTTATTCCTCTGCAGTGTCCCCAATACTACTCCGCAGCCTTGTGCTTGTAGGAGATGAAAATAGGAAACTGATTTTCAGCAACATGTCAAGAAACTATACTCTATTTTCACTCTGAAAACCTAAAAAGTTACATCTGTGAATTGTAGGGTTTATTTTTAAAAACCAGCAACAAACAGGAAAGAAATTGGGTTTTTAAACCTACTGTAGCAAACTGAAGAGTGGGATTTAAAAGTAGAGAATCTCTGGAGGTGGGGGACAGAATTACATAATCTGACCGTCTCTAATTTCAATGGGCCAACAATACTTAAGGATGAGTGTTGCAGGAGAAATAGCACCCTGAACTCTGATCCTGGGGGGGAAAAAAAAAAAAAAGAGGCTTTTCAGTTTTCCCTAGATTAGAAGTTTCAACTCCCTAGTGTTATTTAAATGTACTTTTGAAAAGACCATTTATTTTTGTTTGGAGGAGCATTCCTATTTCTCAGTGCTTGCACAGGGTTTAAGTGGTAATACATTTGAAGTAATCTGTTTGCCCCCAAAACACGCAATTAAGTTTTCACTGACTAATGGGGAATTTTCAGTTTAAGATGACAGACTTGCACTGAGCAATGAACAATTGCTCTGTGCACTGAGCTGCCAGGTACTCACCGAGTTGGGGTAGTTCAGATAGCAGATCTGACAGGGCATGTCCTGGGCTGATGACCTTGTGTTCATCTGACGTGTTCGAGACTTTTTACTGGGGTTAATTACGTGACACTCAGCAAAGAGCTTCTCCAGGTTCCCATCAAAGTACCTACACGATGCACACAGGAAAAGGATGAGAATATAGCCCCCCACACTTATAAATCTGAACAGAAATAAATTAGACACATTATCTAACAATTCTTTCCTTTCAGAAATGGCAGACTGCAATTTTCAATGAATTTCAGAATTCTGCTCGTACCAATTCAAATTGTGTTAGTGTCTTTGATCAGGTTATGCTTTGAGAAAATTGTACTAAATTCACAGCTGTGTCCAGAGTTTCAGAAATAACAGTTAGAAGCTGTTACTTTTACACAGAATAGTTCCAGACAATAACCCTTCACTGGGACACAGGCCAGGATTGTACTGCAAAGACTTAGGAAGCTGGCAAAAGTTTGAGTCCATTTCCCACAGAAACCTATGGGTGTGTTGCAGGGAACTGCCAAGTCCTCAGGTGCATGCCACTCAAGTGAGTACACAAATCTGAGGAAAGTGAAGACCTGGCATAGATTTCACTTTCTATAATGAAAGTAAACTTAGGTCATGCAGTTACAAATTTGAGTGACAGAACAGGAACAAAGGCACCCTTCAATAAAATAGCCCAGAGACAGTAAAACAGAAGTGATGATATGTTTTGGAGTCAAAGGGCTGGTGAGGTTTTCTGAGAGTCACCTGCTATTTGAAAAAGGAAGGCAGTGTATGGTGTGGCTTTTTTTTTTTTTTTTAATAAAGAAAACTGATATTGCATAAGGAAATGAGAATGGAGACTGGCAAGCAAGCTGACAGGACAACAGCAATAGAATGTTTCAAGCCCCACAGACAGTTTCCATCCTGACAGCTGGAAAACTAAACAATTAGCACAAAAACCCACAGAGACTATATATTCCGGTGCCCTTTGATCACAAGGCATTTAGGTTAAAGGGGCAATGGGAAGATTTTTTCCATACAATTCAATTTCTTTACCCTAGTTTGTAACTCGCTCGGAGCCTTTTGTGCCAGGGAGACAGACAGAGGAATGGGTTGCCTGGCCTATTTGGTCTGTGAGCTCCAGCCTCATCAACAGGAAAGCTACAGAAAATGTCCTTATTTAAAGGAACAGGAGAACAAGACACCAAGGCTGTGTCTACATTACACATTACCTTGGTGCAAACACTTTGCCTGGGAAGGTGGAGAGCAATGCCGTTAGAATAACCTTAACCCTGCTCCCCGTCAACAGCACTTTTCCTGCCATTAACCACCACCATTTGCGGTGTGAAACTGATGGGAGAGCTCACACATTGGCTCAGAACATGTTCACCAGAAGTGCTGCAACTGCACTGGAGCATGTTTGTACTGCGGAGCAGTCTCCAGCATGTAACTCCTCTGTAGCTTTTACTGCCAAAACCATCCCAACATGTGGGTCAAAGCTCGTATGTTCCATTTCCCTGCATCACTCATCTACTTGACACTGAGGTTTGCAGCAAGCACAGAGATTGTGGGTAGAGCCAGTAGAAAAAGATCAAATACTATAAACCTACCAAAGAGTTACTTGTTTGCCACCACCTGATGAAAATGTTCCGATCGGTGCTAGTTACACACTAAGAAAGGTTCTTTTCCTACCTCAGGACTGTCCCACAATTTAAAAGTTCCACACAAATGTCAGATGTTTAATGCCATGAGGAAGTTAGGGAGTGCTTACTTCTGATGGCAGACTGCAGCTCCCTATTCTGACAGAATATCACCATGAGATCAACACAAGGAAGATGAAAGCCAGTTGCTTTTCATAGTAAAGCAAGTGCATCGGGCTCTGAATTTAGAATTCAGGATCTTCTGTGCAGTTCATTATCTTCAGAGGGTTTCCCGAAGGGAAACTGGCCTTGTAATTAGACCCTGCAAACAACTCTGGTGTACAAGAAGCAGAATTCTTTGCAAAAAATTCTTCTGGGAGCTACATTTGAGACAAATCAGCTTGAAATCAGCACTGCGACAAAGAAACAAGCTATGACATTTATATAAGTCCCACCCCTATTTCTGTGCTATCAGAATGCTTTACAATCTAATGAATACTTCTCCCAACTCCGCTACAACTTTTGGAGAAGAAAGGCACAAAAAACATGCCAGTTGCTTGTGGAGGAGCAGAAAATGAACTAGGACTCCCAAGCTGCAGGCTAGGACCCTAACTCCACCCTCTGTCCCCTGTAATCCACTATCAACATTCTAACAGGAAGTGTTTTCTTAGCTAAGTGGTGTCGCACACAGAGGGACTCCCATGCTTCCACTTGGTTAGTGGACACTAATAAAACCCAAGAAACAATTTCCTTGGTGACTTTTGTCATTATTTGTCCTCCATCTCCAGCCCCCTCCCCCACAGGCCACAAAAAAGCACCACTAAACTTCCAAGCCTCATAGCCACTGCTACCCAGGATTTCTGTGTCCTCCCTTCCTCACTGGCAAGCGGAAGAGCACTTTGGGAGAAGAGACTCAGGTAGATCACTACTACCTCCTCCACATATCACTGAGCAGCAGCAAGGACTTGACTCTGAAAACCCAACTTCAAGATATCACAAGATCTTCCATGCAGCTAGAGCAGTTGCAGGTGACTCACCAAGCCTGACAGATTAACTCATTTCATGGAGGTCTCATGAAAGCAAAGGCCAACTCCCATTCAGTGACTGCTGGGTGTCTGTCACTATACTTGTATAATTGGGGGGGGGGGGGGGAGACACACAAAAAAGGCTATTTGTTACAACAGCTCTTCCTCCCCCACAAAAGTCAGCCAGTTAAATCCAATCCAGGTGGCGTTTGCCCAAAAGTTACCACTATCTAAGAAGGGGTCAGTAGAACTACATTTGCTTGTCTTTACTAAAGAAATATGAAGGACATGAACAAACTTCTAACAGTGCAAGAGCGGTGAGCTGTACTCTGATTGTCCGAAGAGTCCAAATGGGATCAGGAAGAAATTAAATGAATACTTTGCACTGGTCTTTGCGACAAATGAAGTGAG